CCCCAAAACCCCAAAACCCCAAAACCCCGGAACAGTGACTATAAAGAATTTAACAAATTAACTTTATTAATATAATAGATAAAATATTTTTCTCTGTAATTAAAATGTAGCAGCAAGTCAAAGATGTCTTTTTAAATGATGATTAGATTACTAAAAACATCATGGATGTCATTAACTAGCACCTCTCACCCCGGTCTGGCTAGGTCCGCAAAAAGAAAAATTCCTAGCCAAAACTTGAAAGCACGAAGCAAAAGCAACCACTAAATAACTGTAAGTTTAAAATCACTACTCATTTTGATTGATTGCCATAAAATTTATCGATTATTGTCGAGTGGCTAAACAAGCATTTATTTCTTATAAGGAGCTAAATGCAATTATAGAGCAGAGTTAACAGTTAAATCACAGAGGATCTTTGAGTTAATACTCATAGCAGACTATGAACATTCAAATACCTTCAACTAATTAAAACTTAAACATACCCCACAATATGCTCACTCATTCCACACACCCTCAAACAAGTCAAAATTAGCAAGTCTATAATACTGGGATTGGATTGAATGGAGGTAACATTAATAACATTTTCAACTTTGATTTGAAACAATATCAATAGCCTATGTCCCCTCAAATTAACTCATTCATTAGTAGCAATACTATTATCTAAGGAAGTTTCATGCAAAGTAGCAATGTTTAACCAGGATGCCGAATTCTCGGTAATGCATTAACTAATGTCTTGAACTCAAACTCAAATACCCCTGGGATAGGAGGAACCATAGACTACTCTAATACTGATGCCAAGTAGAAAAAGTAAAATTTGCACAGAAGAACACAAAGTAAAAGTTAGTATGCACCTACAACAGTCTAACTTACGCTTAAGCAAGGTAACTCTCAGATTAGTAAAGAGGATCTTAATACAATGGCCAGAGATTTAAATATTATCGAGAATCAGAGGAAGTTAAAGGCTACCGGCCACAAATTGAAACAAGAAATTGATGAGCAGTTAGATATTCCATCTGAATCAAGGAATCTGAGACTTTGATTTAACTCTCTAAAAACAGAAACCTTTGAAAAGAAGAGCTTGGACAAAATTAAAAAATCTTAACCGTCCTCTAACTTTGGAGGGAATCAAGGAGAATCAACTGAAGACTAAGTTTCAAATATGCAATCAAATTAAAATTTCCCCTAATAATTAAAAGGAAAAAAATTATCAAATAATTTCAACCTTGTAGCTACAAATAACCAATTTCTTTTACAGTTTTCACCTGATCCAAAAAAGACGCTAAATAAGGAATAGTCTCACACTCAATCAGATTTAATATCAGATAATGCTAAGGCGAATCTTAAAATCAATTAAAACAAAAGACTAACAGAAATTCATTAGACTGCTAATAAGATTCAAAATAATCTTATAAATAATTTCTATCATGAGTCCTAGCTTTAATAGTAATTAAATAAAAAAGTACAGTTTTCAAGAAATCGTCTAAATGACGAGGAAGCGGAAGAATTGACTTCATTAATGGGAGATTTGCAAATAGTAGAGGTTGACTAAAAGAAATTAAAGTTGTTGTAAAAGTTTAAAAATGATGATAGTGAGCAGGATGATGATGAGGAGGAACTTAAAGAAGAGGTTGGGGATTTACCACCTAAAATAGAAGATTTGCAAGTAGAGGAGTATGATGACAATGAAGATATTTACCAATTTGGAAGAGGATATAAGCAGTATGATGATGAAGAAGATGATGAAAATAATGATGCGCCTACAGTTGTATATGATGATAACTCGATTGATATAAAAGAATTCTCTGATGAGGATGTTCCTAAAAATACTGAGCAAAAATAATCCTTCAATCAAAATATAGAGTTCGCTTTGAAATCAATTAAACTTTAAGAAGACGAGGAAGATTCTAAGGCAAAAAAGAAAAAAGTCACTATACTGAGTGTAGAAGAAGAAGAGGACTTAGTTGCATAAATAAATGACATAAGGGATAAAATTAAAAGAGGTGAGACAATAGGCCAATAAAAGGAGAAATTTCTTCATCAATAATCCTAGGATTAAAGGTAGTATCAAACAAATTAATCAGAAGGCTAACTAAAGACAGTGAAGGATAAAGAAAAAGATCTATAAGCGCATTTTAGATCTGTTGATTAGGCTAATGGAATGAGCAGACAATAAAATGCTTATTTAGATAAACCTCCACAAGTTATGAAACCTCCATTATACTCCTTAACATTCGCTCATCCTCATGATCCAGAAAAAGAACAAGCTCATAATCCTTTAGCAGGAATCTCTTAAAAGTAGGCTTTTCATTCAATCGATTAGAATGCCCCTACTAATTGCATTATCATGGACGGTCCAAATATATTTGAGAAAAAGAAGTAAAGATTTGAGAAGATATAGAAAATGAGAGGAAATTTGAATCACTAAGGAATAGCAAATGAAGTTGATACACCTAATTTTAACAATTAAAAAAGAAGTAGGGATGATATAACTCCAAATGGTGGAATCAGCTCAAGTATTTCAGCTAATATTCCTTCAAGCTAAAAGAAATCAATTGATAGTACATCATAAAAAGGATCTATAATGACATAAAAAGCTAACTAAGTCCAGAATACCCTTTAAAAGCCAAGAAAATGCAAGACTAACAAGTCTACTGTAACTAAAATATAAAATACTTTGAAGCCGCTGAATTAAAGCTAAGGAAAATCAAGATAAATTTCAAACATTCATCAGGTAAATCCAAGTAAAATGTAGCCACTAGCGATGATGATGTTGAACTAAGGTCAATTACAATCGATGGATGATGCAGTATCAAACAGTTCTAAGAAAAGAAACGGATCCAAGAGTAAGGATATTGAGACGAATAACATAATATTGTACAGCTTAAAAAAGGGAAATTAATTTACTACTACTAATGCTAATAGATAAGCAACCTAGAGTAATATAAAGAAGAAGCTATTGCACAAATCTAAAAAGCATCTTTCTACAGCAATTTAACCATATATAGATAGTGGTTCTTAATCTAGATAGCCAAATAACTTGCTCATTAATGTCACCTAAGAATAGCAATTAATACATTCCTCTAGTTTTAAAAAGATGAAAACCCCCAAACTAAAATTAGCAGATGATCTATTGTAAGGAGGGTCTGATCTTAGCATCAATCAAAAGCGTTTAAGTGAGTTTTAATTAAAACTTATGGGAACTGGTGGAGGTTAGACAACCAAAAATACATCAAGTACTTTAAAAAATCCATTTTTTTCTGAGTTAAAATTTAATCAGAAGTATGATGATAATTCTACCTTAGAACTTGTGAATGTCAAATCTCTTGGATCAATGTCTAATGATAAAAGAGCAACAAGTAACTCTTTCCATAAAGTACAAAAGAGCATGAATCAAGTTAATTTGACTAAGGAAATAAAGTCAGAGAAGGACATTCATGAAAAACAAGTAGTCTAATAAATAGATCCCACTTTTATGATTAAATTAATTAAAAGTAAGTAAGAGTCAGATCATGCCTTTGATGTTCTGAAGAAAAAGCTCTCTGGCGGTAGTTTACTAAGTAACGCTCTTAATAACTTTAATAAAGTAGAATCAATTTCTAGCAAGAATAGCCTAATAGCTGGCAATGACAGACTTAGCTTCATGGAATTTGAGAAGAAATATAAAAAACTCTCAAATTTAATCAGTAAAATGCTAAACTGAAATAAATGAAAATATGTATAGAACTATTAACACACATTTGATAGTAAATTTTATATAATTAGCGTGGTTATTAAGAATATGCTAATAAATTTTGTTTTCCAGTCTAATTTATTTCATCTTAATTTTTTATTCATGCTTTTTCATAATTCATAAATTATGGGAATCAAGGGGTTTTGGGGTTTTGGGGTTTTGGGGTTTTGGGGTTTTGGGGTTTT